AACTAAGAACAATCTCTGATATTTATTCACCACTGACCATGTTTGAGGTATCATCCAAAGTTCTTTACAACAGTCCTCAAAGGGGAGATTCTCTCATCACCCCAGTTTGTAGGTGAGGAAGCCGAGGAACAGAGAGGTTAAACAACTGGCTCAATGTAACACAGCTTTGAACCCCACTGGGCTGGCTCTGCAATCTCCAGAGGCTGGAGAAGCAAGGAAACTTCAGTGCTAGACTGGGAACCAGTCTGCAGCCAACAGGAGGTCAAAAGGAGGAAGGGACCGGCAAGGCGGAGAGGAGGCAAAATCAAGTAGACAAAGGATGAAGGTTCACTATCAATTTGAATCTTTAAAAAAGAGCTGCCAGTGTCCAAAGAGACAACAGCATAAAGACCTAAGCACATGGCCTCCTAGAGCAGCTACTTTGAAGGAAGCGAGCAAGTTCTGCTAAGCTAGTTCTGCCCCACTCTATTTTCAATTTTTATTGGAAACTTTGGTCACATACTCCTCTACTAGTAACTACCCAAACTACTGCTAATTTTCAAGGTATTAAATATGGCTTTGTTAACGGTAAAATTACAAAGGATAAGGAAGGAGGGATTCAATATAGTTGAAGAATCTTCTCTGTATTTCGGGGAGAAAATTCAACTGATATCCATCTAGTTGTTTGGAAAGTTGAGACATGACCAGTGTTATAAATAATATCAAAGAATATTTCAGCCCCCAGGAATTTTTCAAAGCCAATTTTGGGGAATTTTCTCTTCCCCAACCCATCCTGTTGTGTTTTGTTTTGTTTTCTTTTCTTTTCTTTTTTTGTTTTTTTCCCCAAAGCCAAAGAAGTAGAATTTGGAACCCATCTTAAGGTTTTGTTAAAACTCATGTTTGCCACAGTCTGATTTCTTTCAGATTTTGTCCATCTTCCGAATTCAAAATATAATTCTATGATAACATTCACGGCCAAGTGTATTTCTACTTAGCAAGCAAGAGAGTAGAGAGTTGTCCTCTAGAATTTCTTTTTTATTATAATGTTAGCTATCTCCGGTCTACCCGTTTTGTCTCTCTTTTCAAAAATCGTGTCTACCTTCCCCTGGCCCAAATTTTTATTTTTCTATTCTGCCCAGGCCAGAATGACTTCAGCAATGGAAAAAAAAAAGAAAAAAAAGAGTCGGAATATGTATTCTTTATTTACATGGCAACCTTCTTTTACAGATTCTAAACTTTAGACCAGGGAGCGAGAACATTGCCTTCTAAATATTTGTGGGCTGGATCTAGGTTCCTTGGTTAAAGTCATTCAAAATGGATGGAAATACTTGGCATAACTCTCAAGGTTATAGTTTTATAAGGGACACTTGTTATTTTTCTTTGTTACATAATCCTATCTCATTTCTGTCCCTCTCTCAATAGGCTTTCCAGACTAGTGGATTATCAAGATGAGAAAATCTGACTCTTGAACTGAACACATTGCTTTGAGCCCTGCAGATCACTCTGGGCTTCTTATAGTTCCAACTCGTGCACAGAGAAAGTGGTACTTTTATTTCAGCAAAGGCTCAGTTAATAACATACTTCTGATTTTGGAACATTCGGGATGGAAACTGGGTTAGGAAATCCCATGTCATAGTACCTCTTGCTCATGTTTGGAAACCTCAGGGAACACCAGCAATGTCTGGCAACAAACCAGGCCTCTCCCATCTTATGTGTGACACTGATCTCATTTCTTCTTACTCCCTGTCAGACTCCAGCCAAGAGAACTTCCCACACACATCTTACACAGTTTTGCCCATCTCCACGCATGCACCAGTCAATAAAAGCATTTACAAGGCACCTACTATGTGCAGAGGGAGGATTGTGTTTCACTCTCCACTCTGCCAATTCCTGGATTAAGACGGTGGCTCAGAATATCTTCCCAGAAAATGTTCTCTGCTTAACTCCATCCTCTCTAACGTCTCCATAAATGTGTCCTCTGGTGAGCACAGCTCCAGCGCTGCTTAAGACAGAGTTGTGCCAGTTTTTTGACCATGACCCACAGAATGGAATAAATTTGATGATACAACAACCCTGTACACGTACACACACACACACACACACACACACACGCACACGCACACGCACACACACAGCTTGCAAATACAGTTAACCAAAACAAAAGTTTCATGAAAATAATATTTACTATGTAGGGTGCACTTGACTGTTTTAATTCTAATTTGATTTCGTAAAACAAAGATACTTATCTTTACCCACAAAATTGATCTCCTGACCGGCAGTTTGATAAACTCTAGGAAACTCTGGGTGTTTAGGAAGCATAGAAGTTAATTCAAGATTCTAAAGGATGAATCTATAATTCAAACAGGGGGTGACTTGAGAGTGTTCACCAAATATTGTCAGAAAAGTGAAGATTGCTCCAGATAAGGTATTTGCAAGCAAATGTTAAGTTTGACCAGATCCTCTGAATTCCCAAGAATTAATTCATTCCTTAGAGCAAACTTTTTTTTCCCAAGACTTCAAACATACAAAAAATGGATGAGGTTTTTTTGTCCTCCAGGAGTTCAAGGTTAATGGAGGACACAGAGAAGTGACCCAGCAATCTTGCCTCAGTGTTCTAAGAGCTACACCTGAGCCCCACATGGGGGGCTGTGAGAGAAACAAGAGTCTCCTCATTGAGAACGGGGTGAATGACACCTTCTCTCTAGACCAAGGATGTCCTAAGTATGTGTGTTCAGAAAGCATGGGACCTCTTGAATCTGCAGGGCATTATGAGTGGTCCCAGGCTTCAGGGAAGGGCATCGATGGGAAAATGATCAAAGATGAACATCGGGAGAGAGGCGAGCGAAGAAGCTTGAGTTTTCTCCTGAAATATAAAGGGAATCCATTGAGAGGTTTTAAGAGGGGCAGAGGATAACAAGATTTCTGTTTTTGAAAGATGCTTGAAGAAGTAGTGTAGAGGATGCTGGCCAAGAAGCCTTGTGGAGAAAAGAGTCTAGTTAGGAGTCTGGTGTCAAACACCAGATGAGAAATCATACAAAAGGCCTTGGCTGAAGCAATGGCGGTGGGAATGAAGAGGGGAAGCCTCTGAGGAGCCTTAAGGACACAGTAGCAAGTTGGTTCAAGCAGGTCACATCTTGGATGACTCCCAGGTTTCTGGCTGGCATGACTGGAGCGGCCTTTGAGCTGTCCACTCAGATGGGGATTTAATGCAGGTGGAGGGCATGGTTGGGGGCGGGAGTAAAGGTTCAATGATGGACATGCTGAGTTTGGAGCTCTATGGTGATCCCATAGCCATTTGGATCTGGGGCTTGGGGAGAAGCCAGGCCTGGTGTTAGACAAAGCCACAAGGCAAAGATATGAAGTAGGACAGAATCAGAAGAAGACTGGGGATGAGGCTCCAAATTCAGGGCAATTACTGATTTGCTGGAGATCAGTCATTCCCATGACTCTGGTTAGCATGGGGTCAGTGCAGACAGCCCTTGTTCTTCCTTCCTGTCTTCTTTAGCTAGCAGGAGGAATGAAGGGTCTTTTAACATATTTATTGAATACAGTCCTTCCTTCTGGAGCCTTCTGGAGATGACACAGATGCCAGGTGGAGATCATAGCTCCAACAAAGCAAGACAAAGGTAAGGGTGACTTGTACCTAGTCATTAACAAAAAGTAAAGAGCTAGTTCTGAAATGTTTGCTGGGTAGGGGTCCCTGATTCCTGATAGATTCCCAATATTCATTTCACACATTGGGTGTTGTCTTCCAGAGGACCATATGTTCAGTTGAGAGTGTGGTTTCTTTACTAGGTTTTAAGCCCTTCCAGCTATGAAGGGCTTAAACAGCGCAGCACTCTGTTACGGGTATGTGAGTCCTCAGGCCAGCCTACGAGGATGGGAAAGCAGAAGCTCAGTTTCTGTTCTAGGCTCTTAGGGGCAGTGAAGCTCCCTGTTATGGGCTGAGTTGTATCCCCTCAAAATTCATCTGTTGAAGTCCTAACTCCCAGCATCTCAGAAAGTGGCTGTGTTTAGAGATAGGGTCTTTAAGGAAGAAATTAAAATAAAATGGGGTCATAGAGGTGGGCCCTAAAATCCAGCACGACTGGTGTCTTTATAAGAGATGATGGCCATCTACAAGCTAAGGAGAGAGTCCTCAGAAGAAATAATTATACTGACACCTTGATTTTGGGCTTCTAGCCTCCAGAACTGTGAGAAAATAAATTTCTGTTGCTTAGGCCAGACTGTGGTGCTTTGTTATGGTGGCCCTAGCAAACTAATATACTCATCTTTTGTTTTTCTGATGCGGGCTGGTATATACAAAAGCTCGATGCATACCCAAGAGGAAAAATAAGAGTCTAGCGTTTGGAGGAAAAGAAGCCGGGGTTGGAACGAAATGCAATGTGAACACTAGCTACTGAAACAGATAAATCACACAAGTGGATTTAACAAGTATAAATGTATCTACTGCCTTGCAGATTACCAACTACTTTACAAACTTTAACTGATCTGATGTTCTCAACCGCCTCAGCATCCCCTAGAAACGCACATTCTCGGGCCCTCGTTAGACTAAAAGAGTCAGAAAGGGGAGAAGGGGAGGGAGATGGGGGAGGCAAAAACAAGCCGTGTTTTAACAAATCTCGGGTGACTGTGATTGGCTGAAGTGTCAAGTGTGAGAACCACTGAGAGAGGGCACGGTCCCCTGTCCAGATGCGCCTTTGGGCGGGGGGAGGGGGCCGGGAGACCTCACAGTTGTGACGGGGCTGGCAAGGGCGGTCTCCTTGACAACTGGCCCAGAGCTCTACCGACTGCAACGTTCGCACGCGTTGGTGGGTTTTATCCCGCGAACTGCTCAAACTCAGAGCGGTCGCTCCGGTCTCTAAAGGAGAGCGGCGCCCCACCGGCCCCCGGGCGGCACGGCCGGAGGCGAGCGATAGTGCGGTGAGCCCCGGCGCCGAGAGGCGTGTGCGCTTGCGCGCGTCCCCGGGCCGGGCCAGGGCGGGAGCGCGCCGAGGGGGTGGGTCGCGCCGCCCCGCCGGCCTGGCGCGCCGTCCGAGCCACTCAGAGCGCCCGGCGGCCGACACCCGGGGGCCCTACAAGTAATACCCGGCGCCCGCCTGCCGCGCCGGGACTCGCGCGCCCGCACTCGGGAACCGAGGCTCCCGGTCGGCCCTGACCTGCCTCTCAACTTGCTCTGCTCCGGCTGCGGCGGCGAGTCTGCCGGGCCCTTCGCCGAGAGCCAGCTAGTGTGGGGACGGTGCCGCCGTCACCGAGGTCCCGCGCCAGTGTGCGCCTCCCCGCCCCGCGCCGCTGAGGAGCGACCGCCACCTTCGCTGCGGGGAACTTTGTGCGGGGGGTGGGGGGGCCGCCCGGCAGGTGGGCGACCGCGGCAGGCGAGCAGAACGGGTGAGTGGGGCTGGGAAGTTGGGGTGTGAGTGTGCAGGCGCCCCGTGGTGGGACGCGGGCCCTCGCGTGTAGGTTTCCCCTGCCCCTCCTCTTAGTCGCCCTGCAAAGTTTCACTCAGGACCGGTTGGGGGGTGGCGAAGGGGATAGGCTCACCTGCTGCTAGTGTGTTTACCCTGGCGAAAGCGCGAGTCATTCGGACAGCCACTCCTCCAGGCCGGGTGAGTGACACGGCGGCCCCGGCCTCCAGCCCCAAGCCAGACCCAAGGCTCCACCGGCACCCAAGAGCCCCGGTGACCCGGGGCTGCGGATACGCCTGGAGCTCACCCCAAGCCGCTTCCTAGTCCTAGGACCCGGGGGAGGGTGTGTGTGTGACGGGCCACCGCCCTCCCCTCCGCCTCTTTAATTCGAGCAGGAGAAGGCTACTGAGATACAAGACACAAACTTTCTTTTTCCCTCAGTAAAACTGCTTTTCCAGTGTTTTAAAACTAGACGTGCAGACGCGATTCATGGTGGTTTCTTTGGGACATCCCTGGGGGCGGGGCTGCCCCGGCTGGCCCGCAAGTGGGGGACTCCGGGCGCGCCCAGTGGCCCGGGGGCGCGAGGACAGCTCTGGTCCTCTTCCCCTGGGGTCTGGCCTCAGCACTGGCACGGCGGCCAGGATGGCCCCAGCGCGCTGGCCACTGCTCGGGAAGGGATGACCGTCGGTGGTAGGTGCGGGGGTCCTGCGCTCGGGTGGGCTCCAGGTTCCGACCCTGTGTCCTGCTCCTCGCTCAGTCCCGCGGGTGCTCCCGCTGGTGGCCCGGCAGAGGGCGCCAGCTCCCGATCGCTGCGCGGGCCGGCGGAGGGGAGGGGACTTGTTCGAGGCTCCAGGTAAGGAGCATAGTGAATCATCCCGAGGGGGGGGACCCGATCTTCGCTCTGTGAAAGGAGGCAGGGAGTGGCCGTGGCGCTGTTGAGAAGCAGGGGCTGCCAAGCCGCTGTCCGCCGGGAAGCGGCGATTCTGCCACCCAGAGGTCTGGGGAAAGCTCAGGAAGGTAAGGAACGTCCCTCCGCGCGGTGGCCCCAGGGCAGGGAACGGCAGCGTAGACTAAGGCCGGCAGACACTAGGACACGCCGCTGCGCGCCGTTCTCGGGGGTCGGAGGTGGGGCCACTTTTACTCTGGCTCTGGGCGGTCCTGCCCGGGGCGGCGACGGGAACCTGGGAGCAGGCGGCCGATTGGCGGGCTGCTGCGATGGGGTGCTCCCGGCGGCCCGCGAGGTCCCGGAGCAGTAACAAAGGCGCGGCGCGGCCACTGCTCCCACCCACTTCCGTCCCCCGCGCGCCGTGGCGCGCGCCCGCCGCGAGGTGCGGGCCGGGGCAGGATTTCCCTCTGCGGAGTTTGGGGAAGTTAGCTCCGTGGCCCGTTACCCTGGGAGGAGGGGCGGGGAAGGGGGGCGACCCGGGGGGTGGGGTGCACGCGAGTGTTCAGAACTGCGACACTGCCCGTTTCCTCTCCCGACTGCACGGGTGAGTGGCGAGGGCTGCCGTGGCTCCCGCGCCCCTCCTCCGGTGCCAGGGTCGCGCCTCCGGAGGGCCCGCGCGGGTTTGAAGTCCCCGCGCGGCGCGCCCGGCCAGCCCGCCAGTCCACGCCCCTCCCTGCAGATTCGGGTGGCGTGCGGGCTCCCGGAAGGGAGTGGTTTAGGCCCCCGGGGACCGCCGGCAGCCGCCTGCACCCTGAGCCGAGCTCCAGAAGCGGGTAATTGCATTACTGTGAGTGAGCGGCAGGGAGGCTCCAGTCCAGGCCGCAGTCTGGGTCAGGTGCGGGGTTAAGCGCTTCTGGCGAAGGCATTACAGCTCTAGTGAAGTCTGACAGTTTATTGCACCAGGAAGTTCCTCGTGCAATAGGGGTTAAGAGGGCTCCTTGTTTTCCCGGAGGTTGTGGGAACTTAGGCAAACCCAGCCTGTGCACAAGTCTTGTCCCTGAAGTGGCCTGGGCAACATCGCCACCGCGCACCAGACGTTCGGGGCTCTGGACACGAGACGAGTAGGTGCTGCTGAAGAAAAACCCAGGGCACTCTGCTCCGATGTGAAACCATATCGCCCAGTAATCAATGGATAGAATTCACATGCTTTCTTATCTGCCTCCACTCCCTTCTGTAGTAAGGAAAGGGCAGGAACTGGTTTTTATAAAGTGCCTAGTGGATGAGAGACTCTTCACACACACTTTGGAAGGATCTTCACCATTTTCCTCCTCCGAGGCGGTTATTTTTAATTTACAGATGAGTAAACTGAAGCTTAAAGAATCTGGCTTGCTCTAGAGTACTGTTTGCTCCTCCCAGTGTCTTTGGCAAAGGCTGATACTGAAGAGTTGTTTATTGATTGCTGATTAAAGAGTCAGGGTATGTGCTATAAGCCCAGGTTGGGGTTTGGTGGTGGTAGGCATTAGGGTTAGGCGGACTTTCTACAACTTGCTGACTTTTGTTAGGGCCAGCACCAAAACTAAACCAACTCTTTAAGTTTAAGGTTTCTAACGCTTCTTCCAGAAATCCTTAGAATTTTCTGACAACTCCAAAGAGAGTCAGAAATAGCTCTCCTCTGCATTTTGTGGTGTCTCATGAGGCAGGTGGGCCTGAGGTGGAAGCTCCACATGGCATGAATCTGTTTGCCTTCCCTGTTGCAAGGAGCTGCAGTGCCTCCCCTGTTTAAGTGGTGTGACTTGGCCACTGTGCTGGATATGTGTGTAACATTAAGTCTGCCTTGGAAATATGGCCAACCTTAATTAACTGCCTCATGAGTTAAAACTCAAATGCCTTCTCAGCATCCAACAACATGATTTTATCTGTACACATTTATGCATCTCTGAGCTCAAGTTTGTAATAGGGGCTGCTGGTATTGTCTTGAATGTTCTTAAAATGCATTGCCTTTAAGAAAGATGTTGTTTTAAACTCTGGAATGACAGTCTGTGACTCAGAACGTCCCAGGGCAATGCCAGTTGGGGAGACAGCGAGGCATGATGATTAAGGGCAAGCATCTGAAATCACAATGGCAGGCTTGAAATGCCACCTCCACCATTTATAGCTCTGCAGTATTGGGCAAGTTGCTCAGCCTCTCTGAACTTTGTTTTCCTCTTCTAAGACAGGGATAATAATAGCACCTCCTGCTTTGACGCTATGAGGGTTAAATTTGATAATCCATATAAAGTACTTAGTAGCACAGAGTCTAGCACATGGTAGCTATTCAACAAATGTTAAGTAATAACCATGATGTTTAAGAACAGATTCTTTCTCTCTTTCCTTGTCTCCTCCAAAGAGGTAAAATAGTTCATTGATATTTGCCTTGAACTTGCTATTCTTCTTAGTTAATACTGCCATGCAATGCAGTGAGTGATTCCTCTTTTGGAATCAGCGGTTGGGGGGTGGGGTTGGTAGTGATGGAAAACTCTGTCTAGTTGCCCAAGGAATTTACAAGGGGCTCCGGAACTGTAGGGCTTTCTTCCTAATTTTACCACTGTATAATTTTGTGGTCAGTCCTCTAGCCATTTATCTTTCCTTTAAATTTGAAGCCAGTATCCTAATGGCTAGGATGACAGGACTTAAAGAAAAAAACAAATGCAAAACCAGACACACTGGAGCAAAGGAAGCTATTCTCTTTGCTCATTCAGTCGCCCTTTATAACACTGAAGAAAAATATCCGCTTCTTTGAAACTTGTGCTGGCCCAGTCCTGGCAAGAGGGAACATTTCTCTGGAAAATAGGATATTTTTCTGGAGTCTGTTTAAAGGTGAGCCACCAGATTGGTGGGGAAGGGAGGAGGGTTTGAGATGCCATTTCAAAAATATTTGCGTAAATATGGTAAACGATGCATGATCTGAAAATGGCTGGACTATAACTTGGAAGCTGATACAAAGAAGTAAGGCCATGCTCAGGCTGAACAACTAGTGAACAACCAGTAGAGCTAGTTCCTATGTTATAAAGCCCAAAAGCTTTAAACTTAGCAAATGCAAGTGGAGAAATCCTTTTTTATGCCAGGTTGTTTTGGAAAGACCTCTTTAACATTGCTAGTGTGTAGCTGTGGATTTTTCTTGTGCATTTATCTTTTAAACAATCGGTCATGAACAAAAGCACCAGAAACCCTATTATGTCATCAAACACCACCCTAACTGGGAAAGTTGTCATCAAGAAGTGCATGGGTCTGGAATACAGGGAGGGGTTGCCATTTAAAGCATCAGAGAGGTTTTACATTTGGGTATAAAATGCAGCTTTCTCCCACCCTGGAAAATGAGCTGCATGCGAAACCGTGTGACAGCATGCAAAGGGTTGGGAGCAAGGTTTCCGCTTTTGTGCATCTTACTCCATTTGTAGCCACTTGTTGGGTCCCTGCTGCAAAGAAAGAAGCAGCTGCAGGGCATGCGCCAGACCTGCCCTGGGCTGTCCTTTCTATTGTACAGAAGATGAACAGGCAGCGTGTTATTTTGGATCACATAGCAGCTTGTTCAAAAGCATCTTGCATTCCCCAGCTGTTTCACAACTTCTTTGCATATGGGAGAGAACTTACCAGCTGCTGGGGCAACTGTACTTACATTTGCTGCTTTTGTGCAGTAACCAAGGAAGGTAAAAATCCGGACGCCTTTGTTAAACTGTAGCCATTGTCAATAGTCTTGTTTCTGTTAGGTCAGTGTTATTCTAGATACAGGCTTTCAGGGGAGAACGTTTAAAAGGAAATGTCAGAATTAACATTTTTTTTGAAGAAATTTTTTCAGGGATAACCAGTATGTATAGTTTTTTTTATACTTAAAACCCACACAGCTTTTGTGTTTCATTGACTAACAAAGGAATGGGTCTAATATTAAAAATGTATTTTGAATTAGACATATGAATCAGGTTTAATTACATACATACTTCTTTTGCATGAAGTATATAAAAAAGACAATGTGTATTCAGACAGTGCTTTTTTTGTTTTCAGAATATTGGGTTATTTTGCGTTTGCCAGAGCCGGATGGTGTTTTGCCCACATCCCTTATC